GGGGGGAAAAGCGGGAAAAAAAAAAATTGGTTTTATGGTAAATCTTAACATTTTTTGAAAAAAAAAACTTTTTTTTTTTTTACTTGTTAATTTGTTTTCCCCCCCCCCCCCCCCCCCTTCTATTGCAAAGGTCTCATATTATAATAATTTTTATTTTTAATTTAATAAAAAATTCTAAAAATTGTAATTATATTATTGATAGTAATTTCACGGATTACTCCACAGTTACATTGATTGGTGGATTTTGCCACTTCCTGGCAAAATATCCATCTTGCATTGCTTACCGTGAACTGTGAAGTAATCTCTGATAACCCGTGAAGTTACGTTATACTTATCCGGTTCAGATAATTAAACTTTTGCTGTTGCAAATTACTCCACGGCCAAAGTATATGTGGCCGTGTAATTAATATAGCCCTACAAGTTGTTGCGCCTAATAATTTTTTTATTGATCGATAATTTGTGATGTTTTCGTGCAAAGCCACATTCTCATATCAGAAATATCCTACCATTCCATTCTTTTTTTTTCTTTACTTTTTTTCACGTAAAATAGGTTTGTATCCTTCTCTCAAAATATCCTTTCTACCCGTTTTCCATTTCCATTTACTTATCCAGCAGGTCTCAAAATAAAGTTTTGTTTCACACGTTTCAAAATGAAAAATGGTTCGAGCTATTTTCAAGGTATAATGAGCCATTTTAATATGAAATTATTTTATCTTACATTGCTAAACAGGAAGAAAAAAGAGAGGCTAAAGCTCGAATAGCAGTTATTGAACTTCAAATAACATCGTAAGATTAGGTGATGTTCGTGTATATAATTCTGATGATATTCAAGATCCAGTAGTACGTCGGGGTAAAGGTAGACCTACTAAACGTTTAAAAGCTTTAATGAAGAAAATAATAAAGTTGGAACTAGCAAAGGGCACAGACTTATATAGTAACGAAAAAAAAATAATTGAAGTAGTGGGTGGACTTACGTAAATGTCGTATATGTCAATGTCAAGAAACAGGACATTATGCTCCTAAGTGTCCTAATGAGGGGAAATTTGCGTTATGGAATTTGGGTAGTAAGAGTATCTTTGAGGTTGAGGTTGAGCGTAAGAAATCGATGATG